CCACAAGTTCCACTTCTGCTGATGCACAGAATTTTCAGTAATTAGTCATTGCATGGAGTGTTGTATTTATATCCCTTTGAGCCAGAGACGTTAGGCCACAAAGTCAGGAGACAAAGGATTGCTGTTACTAACACGGCTGTTTCTGGTTTATGGGCTGTGGCTTTATTTCAGTGTCCACTTCACTTTTCTGGCTGAGCCATCCTTCAGAAGAGGAGAGAAAGCTAAGCTGGACAAAGTTAGTGTAAATGAAGTTGCCCGCCACAAGAACTCTCAGCTCTACAAAGAGAAAGCATCTCTGTGTCAGTAAGGCCCCTACAGCAGAAGGGCTAAGAAACAAGTTTGTGAAGGATTTCTAAGTTCTGTTCTCCTTTCTAATGTAGACTTCTCACGTCTAACACATGTAAATGTTATTTCCATTTTACAGGTAGAAAGACTGGGGCACAAGCAAGTCAGGTGACTCATCCAAGGATATGGAGCAAGTCAGTGGCAGAGTAAGAGGTTTTTACCCAGTCCCTTCTCAAATCACTAGACTACACTACCTTCATTGCAGCAGTCACACCACAGACAGGGATATTGTGGCATATCTAATCGACTAAAACCATCTGCTCTCATCATACTTTTTATAGAACAACACAGTGCAAGGCAACTTCACAGTTCAGTACAAAGCCACTCATAGGATCCTTTTTATCGCTTTCAAAACAGCATCTTCAGTTTACTTCAAACAGTGCAAACCAGGGGAAGATTTAATACACTCTAAGAAGAAACTAAAAAGAAAACCTAAGAGGAGTGGAACAGAAAATGTCTGCTGACAAAGTCGCATTGCAACAAGCTCTCCCTTTGCATCTTGTTATATAAAAAAGATTAAAGGTAACATTTATGGTCAGGAAATTCAGAAGCATGTCAAACAGCTTCCATTATCTGCCCTGGAGAATGCTGGGGCCTCAGACTGTGGGAGACTCTACAGGATATGTTATGGGCATTTTTACACGTACTCCAGGAGGCGTGTGAGGGGGGGCACTTTAATTAGTGAGTCGCACTAATTAAAAGTGCCTGATTGTCATGTGTATATCATCCCCATGCTGAAAAAATGGCAGCGGGGCACTCTGAACTAAGTGCCCCATTGCCATTTTTTCAGCACGGGGATGCTGATACAAATGACTCTAGAGTCTGCTGGAGCACGTTAATTTTCACGCTCCAGCAGACTCGATTAATTGAGGATTTCCAGTGTGTTGCAGCAGGCTCCCTGCACATGTAGAGAAGCCCTATATGCTTGTGCCAAGCATTAGCCATGACGAAGCAGAGGAAAACAAGTATTTTATCCCATTCTTTAAGCCAAGGACTAAGGACAGACATTACACACAAACCGGTTTAAGTGATCAGAAACTGGTTTAAACCTGTAACAGAACAGATGTTCACTGCACATACACAGGTATGAAAATGGCTGAAACCAGTTTGAGATAAACCTGGCTGAATTTAGTATCAGACTTAACTGATTTGGGTCAAGCCGGTTTATGCAATGTCTGTCCCAGACCCCTTCCTGCATATCAGACTCCCCCAGCAACCCCACATGCTCTTGGGCTGGGTGGGGCTCTCTGCTCCAGCCCAGCAGGGCTGGCCCCTCCCGTCTGCTCCCTGGCTGCAGCTCCAGTAGAGACTTTAGGCATCTGCCTAGCTTCCCCCTGCTCCCCCACCCTCACCACTCCCTTGTAAGCAGGGATCCCCCCTCCTCTGTGCCTTACACAGACACCTCTCAGCATTAGCTAGCAGACCACATGCTGGCTATGTTCCATGCTGTGGGAGACGGGACAAGGGGAGACAGGACAGGTTTAAGGATCTTATGGAGCTAATCAACAGGTAGTTTGTAATGTCCCTCCTTCCTTGGAACAAGTTGTTTAAGAAGAGCTTGAAATAATGAGAGCTTTTGTTTTGGTGATGGGGTGATAAATGTTGTTGGCACCCTCACTACCTCACTAACCAGCAAGGGGAGGGAATCCCTCCATAATCAGAGCCTCCTGCTGGGGCCTGGCCATGCCCCCCCTCAGCTCAGCACTATAAAAGGGAAGGGTAGGCTGCTCTAGCACCCCCCCGGCTTCTAGCCTAAGCCATTTTCTCAGTTTAGAGGAGATGTCTGTGCAGTTACAAATGGATTCAGGCTAGGCAGGTTAGATTAACCTGTGAAGATTGGATCAATTCAAGCTCAGGCTTTCTGAATGTCTGTTCCTAGCCAACGGGGTCAAACATCTGGCTCATGGGGCTCCTAGGAGGTAGGATGAGTGAGGGTAGGCCCAACCACTGAATTCCGGGGTATAGAGTCACGTTAGGGATGCATGATGGCGACAGTGGGCCAAGCAATTGCTATGTTAGGCCCTGCGTTTCCCTGTGCTGACACAGTAGTGCAGGCAGCACAGTGGATAATGCCACCCACCACTGGAGACGAGTCTGGGTCCAACCCTCAAAGAGCCCTGTTCTGGATCTGGCCAAGAGGGCAAAACAACTTTTACATCTCTGCCTTCTATGAACTCCCCTGTTTGTGATCACCTATGTCACCTTAAGCTGTGATCTCCTCAGTTCTCTCATCAAAGCTCTGACCACTACTAGGACAGAAGAGATAGACAGAAGATCTGGTGGCACTAGAAATTCAACAGGTTTGCCATGGGCCATGGTGATGTTACAGATGCTGTGTTTTGGCTGAGATATAAACCAGATACTTGTTCTTGCAATAATTATGGGAACACTTAAAAAGGGGCTCCAAACCTCCTCTAAGTACTGTGTGCACAATCTTCACCAATTGTGGGAACAGACAGCATTTTCATCTGCAAGTCAGGATGCAGATACTAAAACACCCAATTCTACATGCCCAACTGTGGGATTCAAAAGCTACTGAACAGCAGGCAGTTTGCAAAACAAAAGGGAGCTAGTCCTGGTGGTAGTCAAACCCCAACTTGCATATTTTTTTCTCTCCTGATGTAAATGCTCCTCAGCAATTCAGTGGAATATAATTTAGAGATGTAAACAGTGCCAAAATCATACTTCAAATGACTGCAAAGAGGAGAAGGCATGATTATAGCAGGAAAAGAAAGGCTTTAAAAGAGGCTAAAATAACAAGGCAAAAAGGAAACTTCGAGCAAAGGCTGCACATTGTCCATATGTTCCCTCAGACGGAGGAAGTTGTGGACAACCTTCCCCATTAGCAAACTTGATGCTCCTCCAAGGCTGTTATATCCTGGTATCCAGTGGCAGCTGCTGTCACAGACCAAGGAGAGTCTAGCCCTCAGAGCCTAAGTTATGCTGCTGTTCACCATACTGATAATCCCGATTTATGTCACACCTGACTTTAGCCTGACAGTTTTCACTCCTTGTTCCATGTTGCTGAGTTGTGTTGGGGTGAGTTGCTAAAAAGTTGCTGCATCCCACCTCAGCCGTGGATGAATTTCAGCAGTAGGCAATCTGATTCATAATTTATAGGGACACACAATACTCGTGTGTATGTGTGTATTATGTTATCTATTTGTATGCAAGAGTTGTAAAGCATTCTGCTGCTAATTGGAATAGAAAGCAGTATATAAACAGAAGATCATTAACTTTTAAAGCTATTTTAATATGGTTCTGTGTATTCAATTTCAAGGAAAGTGAAAAATAGCGTCCTTTAAAAATAGGAAAGGAAAATTCATAGATGTAATTTGAAACAGATAAAAAATACTGTAGTAGATCCTCTGCAGCTTGGTATATTATCATATAAGTTAGCCTTATTCAGATTACATGTATTAAAATCCTCAATGTACGTGTCCAAACGCTAGTGTTAAAATTACATGGCTCTATTTGTTTTTGTTTTCTCTATAAAAGATGAATCAGATCACATTATTTATTGATAATTCACTAAATTATCCTAAATTATCCGGAATTTGGGGTTCCTAAAAATTGAAATATATATAAAAGCTTATCATGAACCAGTCAATTGAAAGGAATGTCACTTCTTTCCGAGAGCGGTTTTGTTACAGTATGTCATTATAACAAGAGAAACAGATGTTTGGGCCTTACAATACCCCATCTTGCAAAACTTCCTTCTAAATCACTAGTTGTATACTAGATTTCTTATACTGTCTATGGACAGTTCTGCTAACAGTCATGGGAAATCTCACATACTTTAGTAAAGCCCATATTAAGATAATTAGTGATAAAAAAATCTACCAAGTCATTTTTTTCCTTCTTTATAGAATGAAGTTAGTGTGGCTGAAAAATGCCAGACTTGCAGCTCTAGATACTCATCTCCTTGTTTATCCACAGAATAGATGGGGCATGCCAGCTTTCCCCATGGTTTGACTATCAGTCTCTTATCCTGACCCAAACAGACCAGCTCCAAAACTGAGAGGAAAGTTTAGCTTCTAGGTTCAGTTTGATCTCTAGCCTCTCTGATAAGACTGTTAATGAGATGAGGGCTGGGACACCATCTCTAGTTCAACTGCATTCAATTCTGTATTTGTTTGGCTAAATCTATGCAGGTTTTTTCCCCCCAGATTTTTCACTCTTGCTGTCACCAGTGGAGAGGAACTGGAGGCAGGAATGAGGGCAGTGCTACTACAGAGATTGCTTCTGGTTACATACCGCTCATGGCAGGCTTAGAGGACCCAATACAGTGCTGTCAGTTCTCCTGATCTCATTTTGGATCTTGCTGAAAGCCTTGTCTGCTGAAATGATGAGATTGCATCGGCATCTCAGTATCCAAGTAAGCTTCTAGCTCTCATGGTTGCAAATCTGACCTGAGGGCACTCTAAATGCTCAGAAACCAGAATCCTATCAAAGGTGTTCTTACAGCTTAAAAATCATGAGGGTTTTTTTAAATCTAATTTTGTAGATCTGATTACCAGTTTTGAACTCTTGGGATTGCCAATATTCTGCCAATAAGATACTTATTTGAAGAGTGGAAAAATGTTTGATTCAAACTTTTAGTATTTAAGTAATAAACTTACCCAGGTTACTGAAGAATGACACATTATTCAGAGTAGTATTTAGAAGATTTCTTTAAAGGCACTTGCTTTACTGAACAGTAATTATCAGGCCAAGGATCACTAGGCATTTATAATGGAAGGCCAACACGTTTTTTTCATTCAGTCTCCAAGAGTAAACTGAGCACAGCTGTTACATTGAAACAACCCACTGTTATTTAAGAAGATTAATAAAATGAACTGTAACAACTCTCACAATAACCTGCTCGCCACAAGGAGGCAGGACAAGGACTTGGGAAGCTTAAAAAATATATCTCACTGTATGAAAAACAGGACTATTAAAACAGTTAAGTCAGGAAGTTCTAAACTGCCAAACAAGACAAAAGGTACTTTTCAGCCACAGTGTGCCCTTTCAGCACCGCTAGAGTATCCCAACTACTGCAGATATCTTCAGTTAGCAAACATTAGCTGACCCAGTGACAATTTAGGAAGTGGTGGTTCACTCATGGTTCTTTATCCCTTCTGTAACCCACGCTGTGAAAACACACTCAGTGACATGAAGGACAGGGAAATGAAGCAGTGAGCTCCAGATCAGATCACAATTCAATGGCAGAGATGGCGGCAACAGGAACTGAACTCCTCGTCTCTTTATTCCTATCCACCAGATAATGTTGCCTCCATTAAGGGCAATGGATCTGAGTCATCACAAAACTTCTTAATGACAGAAGGGCAGGGAGCAGGGTGGTGAAGAAGAAAACAATTTAGCATGAACTGTAGAGTTAATCTGAACATAATGAAATTTAAAGGTGAAATATGAAGCCCCATAATATATCAATGAATCACAATGTAAACCTTGTAATAATGAACCCTCTGTTTGAGTGAAGTGGATTTTATTCCTAGCTCTGTCACTGGCTGCCACTTGGTAGGTCATTTCAGTGCTCTGTGCCTCAGTTTCCCCCTTTGTAAAGTAATGATAGTCTCTTCCTTTGAAAAGCACTTGTAGCGCTTTGGCTGAATGGCATTATATAAGAACCACATATTATTATTAATACAGCTCAAATATAGAATGCACCAGATGGCCAAATCTCCAAGTGTTTCTGCAATGTTTTTAGTGTAGCAGAACATATGTAATGTGATGTTATTATTTCAGACATTTAAAAGTATAGTTAGCACATGCAGGGGGTCAAACACAACTCTCAGTAACTCCACTGGATTTAGTTCGGATTTACGTCAGATGCAACTAAGAGCACAAAATAGCCTTATATGTGCAATGCAGTAAAGTCCCATAGCCATGAAAAGCTTAACTATTGATTTTACTGATGCGTTTGTTTTGGCCGTAATGTTCAATTAAGGTAGGGCATTCTGCCTTTCACTTTGAACAGAGAGGAAAAATGGACTAGAGTAACTAATAAGGACTAAAAGCTAGGTATCCTTTATCAGATGCAGTATGTTATTTGTGCCTTTTCACCACCTTCTGTGGAAACTGAGCACCTGACACTAATTAGGCTAGATTAAGGCAGGGCTTTTTGTCTGGGAAAGCAGTTCAGACCTGTGTAGGAAGAGTCAGCCATTCAATTTTCAGAGTCAGAGGGCAGCATTCCCTCCTTTCTCCCACTCCATAAACAGCAGGATCATTTGAATTCTAGAGATGATGAATTACTTGACTGTACAAATATGAACACAACAGGGCTGCAGCTTGTGTCACAGTCCTTGTGCATAAATGATAAAGAAAAGAGAGAAGTAATGACTCCAGTGAAGAGAGCACTATGAAGACACCCTCAGTGCATAAAGTAACTCTAGTGTAATCATAGTACAGCCTATACCACTTCAGTGAGCTGACATTTAATATATAACAGACTGGAAGCAGGATATCAGCTGCACATAATATATTAGCTTTTGTGCTAGTGCTCAGAGATTTGGTTGATTACTCATTGCTTTGCTTTAGTGCGTAAGTAGTCTTTTCCAGAGCAAGACAGTTAAACCACAAAAATGTACCGTAGTGTCCATGGCCTTGACCTTCCCAGCAGGAACATGCTTTGGAATGGGATCTTCCTTTGATATCATCACACAGCCTTCTGCCCCCAAAGTGACAATTACCAGCTTACAGCCTCTTTCTAGTAGTAGGGATCCCACCTTCCCGGCATCTTCAGGGTTGCCAACTGGGAGGCCTGTTAAAATTTCTGCCTGGAAAGTAACACAGCATATCAAAATTGCAAACAGATAAATTGGTGCTATCAGAAATTGGCATTTAGTAACTTTGTTAAGTGTAGTCAGACTCAGGCAACATCTGGGCTGTAAGGTCATGCTTAAACTATTTCCCCCCACTTCTGTTCAACATACTGGCAATATTTCTAGCTTGGGTTTGTAATAGTGGGGATTTTAGGGCACTGTACTGGGCCTCAGGAAACCCGAGTTCAATTTCTGGCACTGTCCCAGGCCTGGTAGGTTGACACTGGGCACTGATCCCTTTCTGTACTGCAAACTTCCTCAACTAAAATGGAGATAATGATACTGGCCTCCTACATAAAGAGTCTTGAAACCTAAAGTTGAAGAGTGCAATAAAGACTAAGTCTAATTATTATGTAAGTTTAAATCCCTTCAGGTCTGCAATATTACTGTAGTCTCCTTCAGATCCCTGTACTCAAGGCTGACTGATGCCATCAAGCCCAGAAAACCCTGCAAGCTGACCATAGCAGGTAGGTGGTAAGCTGCAAATACTGCTTACCAAGTACAAGCTGCTCATTTCACTGTTAACGTCTTCGTCCCCACAACCCAGTCCATTTGCTTCTCATCCACCTGTTGCTCCTTCCCATAAACCAAGTGTTCTAAGGCAGGAACTGCCTTTGCATTTCATGTCTGTATAGCAGTTAGCACCACAGGCTCTCATCCTTAGTTTTGGCCATGAAGCACTACCAAAATATAGTAATAGATTTTGAAAATCTAGGGAGTCAGAAGAAGAAATGTTTTAACACTAAAACTTTAGGACTAATTATGAATCCAGCCCAGCACCCACTGAACTCAACACACTTCAGCCCTGCATTAAAAGCTTGGGTACAACTTAACTGGTGCTTATATCAGCTCATGTACACTAGAATGAACATATCCACAATGAATTCCCATTTGTAGTGGCATAAAAAGAAAGTCCCTTGTTTTAAAGCACATTAACTTGCAATCCTAATTAGATCAAGATCTTTGCTTGGAGTGATGTGTTTTGGTAGAAAGAATAATCTCATTGTAAGAGGCTTTCTGTGTCTTGATGAAATTGCAATGCTCTTATAGTATAAAATAATTCATCTTTCAGGATTTCCTGCATCATAAAGCCTAAAAAAGCCAGTCATATTATGAATTATATGATACTTTTTCATGTACCTTAGAAATGTCAGGGGACTCAAAACTGCCATTAGGCATTCCTCACATGTTCATCACCACACTACTTCAAAGATTCAGGATTCAGCTTCCATCACTGCATGTTTTCAAAGAGTAACTGTCAGACGGAGCTATTTCTGAGAGTAAATATTTAGGGATTTCTTCACTCGTTGTCTCTTCCGCATCAGTTTATCCAGGTAGAATCGATGGAAACGGAGTGAGAGGGCACTTTGTAAATTCTTAGTAGACTGCTAGTGAGGGGTTACTTAGGAGTCTCTCAGAATAAAATCACATTGCTTAGCTTCTATCAGTAGCAGATTTCTACATACTTTCAAATATAGCAACTGAAAATGACCTGAAGCCTTCTTTCAGGAAAGGCTAACTTTAAGAAGGATAATGAGCTCTTCTGGGGAGAAAGGGAGTCTATTTATCCTTTCTTATCAAACACATATATTATGTCCAAGCTCTTAAGCCTCAGCTAGGATTGGACTTCCATCATGTTGGGCACTATACAAACATGGATTCTCTCCTTGCCCTATAAATGATTAACTCCTGGCTCCACCTGTCTGGCAGCAAAATCTCTCAACTAAAAACTAGCATCAAAGGTTCTCTGATTAAATGCCTTTTTCCACTCCAGACATTCTCGCTGGGGTGGGACTTTTCACTGCTCTGTAAGAACTTTGGAGGCAGAGGCAAACACATTCCATTTTTTCCTCCCTAGCTGGGGAGGGATTAGTAGTATGAGAGTAAAGTATGAGAGAAGAGGCAAATTATATACTACTCTTCTCCAAGCCTTCCCTGGTTGGCTGAGGTAGGGGGAAGTCCTGGCCTGCCCTAATGGCAAGTCCCTTGGTTCCAAAAGAGAACAAGAGCTTGAGATATTTTCAGATCCTTAAATATTACCCTGGGACTTTTTTCTTCCCCACGTCTCCTTCAGGCAGTCTCTGGGTCTCTGCTCCAGACTGTTCCCTGAACCTCCCCCCATCAACTTTGAAAATCACCATCCTCTTATACCCCACAGTATTTACAGCATGGTTAACGTGATTTTTTTTTTCATGTTTAGCTTTCAGCATAGGTGTAAGATCAAATCCTGCGGCCCATAAGGATACACATCACTCAGTGATTTCAGGAGGGGTTTGACTTTATAACAGTAAGCAGGATTTGGTTCTTACTGGATAAATGCATTTTGTACATGGTAGTGGCAAGGTATGGTAATAACTCTTCACAACTCAGTACATTTTGGCCATACCTTGAAGACTTTCACTGGGACAGGAATGAAGCAAAGCTGAGGGGTTCAGAAAAAGTGTCATATTTTGCTGTTTAGTGAGTTAATTTCACCACGTTGCTCAGAACCCTTGAGGAATGGAGATTATTTGGGTAACTTTAAATCTGTGCTTTTCTTTACAGCTAAAACCAAAATTATCTGCAAATAAATTAAGTCACTTCACACAATAATTAAGAACATGGAGATTATACCTGTCCTGCTGTAATGGTTACAAGGAACTAGTCAAGCAGTAGTGGCTAACTAGAGGGGTCATTAGACACAGATGATAACCACTTATTAAAATACATCTATTTTAGTGCATATATTATGTACTATAATGTGAAATAGATCAAAGCCCTTAGATGTCTGGAGCTGAGACTAGGTATTCCCAGGGTGCACACTCCCAGAACACTATAGGTGCTATCTTCTTCTTCTTTATCCATTATGTTTATTATACCTGCACAAAAATATTTCTTGAAAGAGACTCTTAAGCAGATAGGTTTCCTGGAGCATCTGCATGAAAATAGTGCTCCAGACATTTGCTACTATTGTCTTATAACCCAAGTACAGCAGGATAATGAAACTAGGAAACACTGGAAAAGCTGGGGGCCATTTCCCCCCACAGAAATAGCAAACAAGCAGACTGATATTGTGTGCCAGTAATTAGAAATTACTGTAAATGTCACCTGGTTTTAAACATAAATCTACTGTGGCAAGTTATGAAGTCCCTCACACCAATAAAATCTTACTTTAAAAAAAACAAAACAAAAAACAGTAGTACAATTGAAGGAAATATCTAATGTTTGAAAGAAAAATTAAAAACCAAACACTATAAAACTTATGGCCATGCTGGCCAAAAAAAGTCTCCATTTTGTATTTATTTTTAATTTTGATGAAAAAATACACATAATGCCCATTAGAGAAATAACTCATTTGATTTCCAACATTACCTGAAACACATCATACTTCATAGAGTACATTTTATTGTATTCTTACAATTTATTTTTATCAATAGCCATGAACATAGATAGCATATGTTAATAAAAAAAAAGTAAATTACAAGGGGCAAGGATGTGATAGTATCTATAAAGATAGTATTTTTCTATAAACTTTCAGAGAAATAGTATGTGACTGAATTAATACAGTCTTAATACAGAAATAAAGAAGGCTATGGTTATATGTTCTATCTTATGTTTGCATTTTTGGTTCTTTAAGTGCTTAACTTTGTACACAAACATTTATTTATTTAAATTTATTTTTTCTACAGAAGTGAAGACTGAGGGGGGATTAGATAGCAGCCTTTAACCACCTGAAGGGTGGTTACAGAGAGGATGGAGCTAGACTGTTCTCAGTGATGTTCTCAGACAGAACAAGGAGCAATAGTCTCAAGTTGCAGCAAGGGAGGTTTAAGTTGGATATCAGGAAAATCTCTCTCTCACTAGGAGGGTGGTGAAGCACTGGAACAGGTTCCCTAGAGAGGCGGTGGAATCTCCATCCTTGAAGATTTTTAAGGCCTGGCTCAACAAAGCCCTGGCTGAAATAATCTAGTTGGTTATGGTCCTGCTTTGAGCAGGGGGTTGGACTAGATGACCTCCTGAGGTCCCTTCCAACCCTAATTTTCTATGATTCTATGTCCAGGGGCGGGCAAATATTTTGGGTGGAGGGCTGCTTACCGAGTTTAAGTGAGGTGTCAAGGGCCACATGGGTAGCCTTGCTACTGAGTCCTGCTGGCTCCCCCTGGTTGCTACTGCCCCTATTTCCTGTCATCTTTGACAGGCAGCCAGGAGCAGATAAATATACTATTTTCTACATTTTTAGGGGCCCCACGGGCTGCACAGAATGGCCTGGCAGGCTGGATCCAGCCCACAGCCATATTTTGCCTGCCCCTGTTCTTTGATTTACTTGCACAGCATATTCTACATTGTATTATGAGTCAAATATGAAGTCAAGAATGGGTCATATTTCAAAGCATAAATATCAGGAGGCAGATTCAAATGGAAATACAGTAAAAGCTCCGTTATCCGGCATCCATGGGGAATGGGTGGTGCCGGTTAATCAAATATACCAGTTATCCGAGAGTTATACTTATCTCCAGCCCAGTGGGCTGGAGGTGTCTTTGCCAGGTGGGGCTGCTGCCCCTCCCACTGCATCCGGTGTGGGCCTTCACTCTCTAGTGCCAGTGTGCTGGGGGAGAGGGAGAGGAGCCCCACGCAAGCTGCTTTGCCCCAGGCCGTGGTCCACGAGGAAAAAAGTGGGATTTTGCTTGCAGCAGTGAAACTGGAAGTGCCACAGTGGGACAGACACTGGCTAATAGAGCATTCTGGATAGTAAAGTGCCCAATAACACAGCTTTTACTGTACCTGATTTTAAATAATGTTGGGGGTGGGAGTGGATACCTATGTGCTTAGTGCCCAAATGTGACATTACATTGAATATAACATTTTGGTTATGGGCTTCCCATAATTTGATCTGTTTTGAAAGGGGGAAATAAAAAATTTAAACTATTTAACTTGTAACCTAAGGGACCCGGAACAAATTAGCTCTCTACCTCCCA